CCCCAAAACCCCAAAACCCCAAAACCCCTAGTAGCCAGATTTAGAATTTTTTCTTAAGAATAATCATTATAAATATATTTCAAATTAAAAACGAGATCACGCTTCTCATATTATTCAATGAGCTCAAGATAGTAATTTCTGAATGGAGATGGAGATAATTAAGATGTTGATTCTGATGTACAAGACAGTTAAGGAGCTATTCAAGAAAGCTACACACTACGATATGTAACTCTGGGTCATACCAACGGGGAGTAACAAAAATCTAAATTCCTCAAAGATGGCTTGAAAACTTAGATAGTGGGCACCTCCATTGATCCAAAAATAATGAAGCATCAAGAGGAAGAGAAGGAATAAGATAAGCTGGCTCGAAAAGCTTCTACTAAAGAATAATCAATGTAAGCTAATTACAATGGCACATCGAAAAACAACGATAATAACCATGAAAATCATGATGAAAGCAAAAATGCAAACTCCTATAATAAATCCATGGACAATGTATGATTAGAGAATGATGGCTCTGATAAACCAAACGCTTAATTGGTAAAGCTTTTGCAATCTAAGAAGACTGATTTCCTTACAGCAATAGCTGCAGATGAAGACTTGAGCAATATCTACCTCTAACTAGACGAGCAATATATGACTGAAAATGATGTTGACCAAGCAATAGTCCTAGAAAAAATCGCTGCTTAGAAACTTATAATAGATCATTCAGGCAAATTCCGTACACGATGGGATTTGTGGATAATCTTACTAGTGTTTTACAACTGCATTTAAATTCCTTTGGAGTTAGCATTTTAAGATGATTTTATGAATGTGGGTATCGACGCGTTTGGCTATTTTGTAGATGCCAATTTCTATTTCGATATCATTTTCAACTTCAGAACTACATATATCAATGAAAAGACAGGTCTTGAAGAGAGAAGAGGTAAATTCATTGCTTGGAACTACCTAACTCAGTGGAGGTTCTACTTTGATCTTCTTTCGATTATTCCTTTTGAGTTGCTTTATAATGCAACGAATCCTAACGGTTCCACTAATACAACATAGTTTAAAATATTTGATCTATTGAAACTTATCAGACTCCTCAGGCTCGGAAGAATCATAACCTATCTTAAATTCAAGCAAGATATTAAGATCGGCTTTCGCATAGTCTAGCTACTTTTCATGCTCTTATTAATTGTCCATTTTGTTGCTTGCCTCTGGTATGTCATTATCGATGGAAGCGACTGGATCCCTCCAAGAGATGCGAATTACGGTGTTACGCAGTTTTATTCTGATTCAATGGGAAGATAGTACTCAATACTCTACTACTACTCTATATTACTCCTATTAGGAGGAGATATAATACCTACAGAGACTATTCAGATTGTTTACTCAGCTCTAATCGTCATCCTAGGCTCAATCCTGACCGCATTTATTTTTGGTAATATGGCAGCTTTAATGGCAGATATGAACGCAAAGGATTCAAGGTTTTAAGATTAATTCGACACAATTACAAATCTTATGAGAGCTATAAAGTTACCTGTAAAAGACCAAAGGGAAGTTGAAAGCTATTTGCTTCACATCCAATAAGTACCTGACATGTAATAAGATATGAAGATCTTCTTAAAGCTATTATCCCCTACTCTAAAGAGTACCATATTGTTTCACATCTATAGTCAGATACTGGAGAAAATTCCAGTGCTAAAATGTCTGAGTCACATAGAAAAAAGGTTCATCGTAAACTATATGAAGACCGTCATATTTCTTCCAGGTGATGAAATTATAAGGCAGGGTGATAAGGGCTAAAAGATGTATTTTGTTTCTAGGGGTAAGGTAGAGGTAACCATTGGTCCAGACGATGTTGACTATGAATATGAATTAAAGAGAAGTAACTCAAAAGGTTCCATAAAATCTCACAAAAGTGCTGGTAGTATTCGAAGTGCTGCTCTTCAAGGTCCTATCATACAGATAGAGGAAAAGGCAGAAACATAGAGCTAGAGTTTGAGCAAAAACGATGGCATCGGAAATTTTCTCTAAGTACCTGGTCAGAAAAAGGGAAGCAATAAGGGAAGTAGCCGTTAAGGTAGCAGATAAGGTAGTGTAAGCAAAGGTAGCTAGGGTAAAGAATCTCTTGATAAGAACTTGCCAGTAATACAGTAAGTAAAAGCTATCAGAACACTAAGTGAGGGCGAGTATTTCGGAGAGGTCACCTTGCTTACCAACCTTAAGAGAACAGCAACTGTTAAGGCAGTTGATTTCACTACACTCGGGTATATGACTGCAAGAAACTTCGCTTAGGCGAAGGTGGAGTTCCCACAGATATATCAATCCTTTAGAAGATAAATCAAAACAAGATACAGCGATGAGCACTTCAAATTCAGGTAGAATATGATTCGAAATGTGCCCTATTTTAGGGGGATGAGTGATGATGTAATCTAGGAGCTCGTTTACCTACTTAAACCAATTAGATACGATTAAAACATGCTCATTGTGAAAAGAGGTGATTCCACAGATAGAATATATTTCCTGAAAGCAGGACAGGTAGATGTAGAAGTCCCTTTAAAGAATGATAAGATGCTTTTTGACTACCTGAATGCTGGATCTTGCTTCTGCATTTTTAGTGCCTTTAATGAAGACAGGAAACAGAAGTTCGATTTTAGAACTAGCACTGTTTGTATAGTAGAAACGATTTCAGCTGAAGATATATTAGGATTATAGAAATAATACTTAGAACTCTCTGACGAACTTAAGACTCTCCTCGTTCAGATTAACAATAATGAGAAATCTGAATTCGATTTCTTCAGATATCTTCCCTCCAGATCTAATCAAATATTTCGGTCAGAGCAATGGAAATCCTAGGTCAGGAGAAAGTTCAGAATTGCAATTGCTAAATTCTTTAGAAAACTTAAGAAATCAAAGCCTGTCTATCATATGCTACAACTAAACAAGAACTCAAATGAGAGAGAAAACAGAGAGGCTTTTCATAACTACATATTCAACAACAAAGTTCAAAATTCAGATGAGGAGGAAAATGATGAGGTCAAACAGTTTTAAGCGCTTCATGCTCTCGATATGCTTGAGAAAGAGAGAAAAAGCAAGGAGCAAAAACTGAAATATCTGAAAGAAAGATGCTCTAATCCTTCTTTATTCGTTATTTCAGCTATGATGGGCAAGAAAAAACACGAAGAAAATCAAAGAGTCTAAGGAGATAACCTAGACACTGGTGATAACTTAAACACTGATGAGAAACAGCCCTACGAAGCTGACCCAATTATTGAGGAAAAAGAGTATCATGATGATACTCTCTTGTACATTGAAAATCCTGCTAATAACGATGATTCTATGGAGATTGGTATCAAAAGGCTACCTAGAATAGACGGTATTAGAAGGGAGCTTGATAAAATGAAGATTGAATCTAATCATCTACTGACACACGAGATTAATGAGCTGAGTGTCATGAATAATGTATCAATGTTTGCTTAGCCTGGCGCAACTGTTGATAGATAGTAGTATAAAGATCATGGCGAGCGTAATTTAGTTGCGAATAATCTAGGAGATACAAACCAATCAAATCAATTCTTTACAAATAGTAATCAGCTGTAAGTCACATAGAGAGATATACCGTTGACTGATACATTGATTATGGACGACAAGCCTGATGACGAGGACGTTATGAGACCAATCTGGAGAAGCAAGCTTGGACCAGCAAACGATCAGAAATATCTTTCACTCATAAACGATGATCCAGTGAAACTTCAAGAGCAGTAGATGGAGGAGGAGAAATATGAAGACTTGATACTTAAGGATAACCAAAGTGAGCTAAACTTTCAAGTGCTTGACAAGTTTGAAACGAATAATAACATCGTAATTGAAGATCAGAAGGAGGAAGCAAAATGTGAAGATCTTATCAAAGTACTTAACCAGATAAATCAGAGCCTTTAAGATCAGCAAAAATCTATGAACAACTTACAGTATGACATGATTAAGAGAATGGTAACTCTCGAGAGGAAACTGAATAAAGCCATTAAACTGGATCCTTAGGGCTAAAAAAGTATGAAGGGCACATCAACCAACTCAAACGTAAAGAAGAGTCGAGCTCAAAATGTGAGTGCTAAAAACAGCAATTAACTCCTATTACCTTTCAACCAGGAAATAACGGACTCTTAGAATAATAAAAACATTGGTCAAAGTCATAAGTCCTCATTCCTTGTGGATACCAGTTTCTCACCTAAAAGGCTAGCTAACTAGTTACAGAAGCTCAACAAAGATTACAATATGTCTGACCTTCAGTCTATGCAGAACAAGAAATAAAAGCCTATTATCAGACCTGAATTAATGAGCTCTAATTCTGAGGTTTAGAAGCCAACTCTTGCCCTAGATCAAATCAATGAAGCTCAAGGAGTATCAAGAGGCTAGATCATGCTTTAAGGCATGCAACAGAAAGAGAGTGACAGCGACATGGTTGAAACACCAAAATAAACGGTGCCGAGTATATTCGCCCCAAAAAAGAGATTGCAGAAGTTCGAGGAGAGCAAGACTAATGCCAACAGTGCAGGTGGTGATTAAAAGACTTAAGCTAGACAAAGAGAGAGCGCTAAATAACCCAAAAACGTCAAGCTTCCATTTATGGCGCAACAAGAATCAAACATGTCAAGATATAACAACCAGACACCCTACTTTCTGACAGAGTACAACGAAACTATAGTCAACGACTAGTCAGTGTATCTAAGTCAGCATATCTACTAGATAATAGTCAATCAGCAAGAACAAAAGAAATGAATAAGATTAATTAGGTTTCAACATAAATATATCAATAGACCTACTCCTGATTACGATTGTAAATTTAAACAATTAATTTCATAAATTCTTTTTAACAAACGATCACTGACTAATGGGGTTTTGGGGTTTTGGGGTTTTGGGG